AAAGTAAGGGACAGAGGAGGAAGCTATCAATGATTTAAGTAGAACAACTAGCAGTTGTCCAGAATTTTCATATTCTTCATTGGTCCATATGCTACAAAATTTTATTTGCTACATTGGTTTATAACCTTCAGATTTTGTAGATGCAAAGTTGTCCAAAATTTAATGGTCCATTAGCCACTATTGGTGTGTTCTAAAAAAGCCTTCCATGCATTGTAATTAAGATTTTGGTTGAAGTGTGATGTTTTAGACAATTTTGCAGTTTGTTACCCTTAAAAAGTTCAATTACACTTTCCTGAAACACGTGACTATAAAAATTTAACTCAAATTTTAATATTACTTGCCAAATTACTTCCAGAATGAAAACTAATGGCTTTGTTGTCTCCTGCATTAGGAAGACAATACAATAGGGTCTTGAATCCTAATGATTGTTACGGTAGATGTGGAAGAAATCTTGTGCACATGCCAAGGAGTTCTTGTAATTGTGTAGTCTATCATATTTCACAATGCTTTCATTTGGGTGGCAATTGAATAATATATTACCATTTAATTTGATTGCTATTCATGATTAACTTCTCTATGAGAATGGTTCTTCCTTTTGTTCCTTATGTTCAAGAATTCACGATTAACTCATGCATTATAATTCACTACATTAAGACGTTATCTTATGAGTTCAACTCCATTGGTAACTTAATCAGTTACTTTATTTGGTTTATTGAATTTCTTGAATAAAAAAAAAATTTATTTAGTCAATTATAATGGTTGATGGTAATGACATATTTAGCCCCATTAATTTCTTTTGAACGGGGACGTGTGTTTAAAAATATGTCAAAGTGATTTCATAGTTTTATAATACATGTACTTAAAGCGTTTTATAATTTTGTTTTTAAAGTTTTTTAAATTACCTGTGTAAGCATGGGGATATTAACTCTCAAATTAAATAAAATAAAATGGAGAGAAAATATTTTAATCAATTGAATTTTCAAGCAAAGTAAATGAGATTGAAAACTTTTAATAAGGAGAGATGGCAAAGGAAAATGTAAGTGAAATTAATTATGTTTTGACAATCGTGCATTACAAATATGATTAAATTGCATTACATATAAATTAATTTAATCATAATGATTAAATTCCTTTATGTATTTCATGAAATACAAGTAATAATACGAGACATTGATAACTCATTTAATATTTTACTAATGAAATGAGAAAGTAACAATTATAAGTTCCTCTTTAAATTAGTTTGGTTAATTGAAAATAAATTTATATACAAAAGGCCTATAGATAATAATTCATGATAAAAGTAATAAGGCATCTTAAAAAATGATCAATGTTGTATTCTAATATATATTTGAAAACATTGAAAATGGGCTATAATTTTTTTTGGTTATACCTTACACTAATTATTTAAGTTTCTTTCTTATAGGCTATACTTGTCTATCATAATTAGTTGTGATTAATTGATTATATCATTTATATTTTTCATTTGTTTGTTCAATTGTTTGCAGATAATAGAGTCTAGCTAAAGACCACATACTTAATTTTTTAAAAAAACCTAAATAACATAAATGTTGATTTCAAATTATTAGTATGTAATAACAAAAATGTTCTACAATATAACTTATCTTATGAAAAGGTAATTTTAAAAATAATTTAATTTAATTAGACGACTTCTTCCTTGTGCATCGCACGAGTTAAACACTAGTTGTAATTTAATTGTGGAAGGTTGAACCACACATATCACCACATAGGAATTTTATTTTTGTTTTATTTTATATATGCATTTTATGCAAAACGTGGTGAAACAAGTGTAATTTGTGCCTTCATAAACTTCTCCTTACCAATAGTAGAGTGAATAACCATCATTTATACCTCTACACACAAATCCACAGCTATCCACAGCTAGAGTGAAGGTGATGAAAAGTTACATGTATAACTATTTTCAAGATGTATATGCATATTGAAAAGATAGTTCATGTTTATTGAGAATCTAAAAAGGGAAAAGCAAAGAGAAAATTATAGAACAAGATGTAACATTGGATTAGTATATTACTTTCAATAGATAACATGCAAGGACATGAACCTAATTTATTATTCAGAATTATGTTATTCTGAATATTTAAGTCTCCAATGCAATTAAAAACTAATGCACAAATCCAAACTTTTCAAATATTGTGGACTTAGTTCCTTCAATTTTTTTTTTTTTTGGGTTCTTCTATGAAAGAATGCAAGACAGTGAAGTTTTTTTTTTTAATCATATAAATGCTATATATCTATGTTAATATGAGACATGCTTATGATACTTACTTACTATAATTCAAACTTCTCAAATATTGTGGACTTAGTTCCACAATTTGGACACTTCATCATGTATTTACTCTACAAGGTTTTTGTGTTATAATTTGAACGTTCATATTTTAATTTCTTATCTTGTATTGTCATCATTATTTTTAATTCCAAATACTTACTATAAATTTCAAGTTAGATGCTGCTTTGGTCATATCTCATTTCTTTGTCTCTTTTTATGCTAATATATAATTTATAATATTTTGTTAATCTAGATATTTAATATAAAAAAACAATAAATAAGAGCATGTAGTTCAAATTTTGTTGAAATGTTTAAAAAGGTGATACTTTCAATGAGAATAGAGGGAAAGTGTCGAAACTTTTTTTGTGGTCAAAGGAAAAGCATCAGAACTACCCATAATAATAATAATAATAATAATAATAATAATAATAATAATAATAATAATAATAATAATAATAATAATAAAGAGTGTGAGATCTCACACAAAAGAAAAGTGAGAGAATTTAAATAGAGAACCCTTGTGGCAATTTAATTAAACATTTTTTTAAAAAAATAGGATAATACGCTGTAGGCATTTGGAACTAAAATGAAAATAACTTGGTAAGGTAAATGACGAAACTATCGGTAAATTAAAATGAAGAAATAACATCTACGAAAGCCCTTCCTCCGTAATTGAAGAATTGCTCCAAGCACAAACGAATTACTTTTCGTGCATGTCTCAAAATATAATTTTTGAGAAGACTGAAGTTGATTTCTCTGCTCTCTTCATATGAAGACACTCCTCCCATTGGCGAATTAGAGTAACATTGCCATTTGTTTTTTTGGTGCCTCAAATTTTTAACTTATGTTTTCTTAATTTTTTTTGAAAAATACATGTTGAAAGATTATCTTTATTTTAATATTGTATTAACAAAATAAAAATTTATAGAAATTAAAAAAATTGATATTAAATATACACCATTAGTAAGTTTGCATAGTCAATTTAAAAAATTATAAAAAAATTAAATATTAGATTTACATCATCCACATTAAATTCAAACTGTTCAAATTGATGATCTAAAAGATTTATTAAATTTTCTAATACTTCCAATAATTTTTTAATTTTATAAATACAAAATAAAAATAAAAAATTTATATCTAAATTATTTAAATTAAATTTAAACGACTCAAATTTTATCAAGATGTAGAGAAGGGGTGGAGAGCATGGACTTGAATTTTCTTCCTTGCAAAGGAGAGAAAAGAATAAATCAATATAGATTTAAACCGTCAAATTAAATTTGATAAATTTAAATTTAATAATTTTTAAAAATATAAATTTAATTTAAACCGTTCAAATTTATAATTTAAAAATAATAGAAAAAAATAAAGGAGAGAAACCCAATCCAAAGAGCATAGGAGGTTTGTAAGTATTCCCAATATTATTGCCATGTCTTGGTGCTTCAACTCTTCTAGGAACGGGACAGCATTTTTCTTTATTTTTTTTTTCAATATGAAGTTAATTACTTTAAAACTGGATAGAAGACAAAAACGAACTAGTACGCCTTTGCAGAGGGGTGTCAAGAAATTATGAATTTGACAAGCCAACTTTTCAGTCTCTCTAAATATATTATTTGATGTAACCATCCAACTTGCCTTGATTCTTTCTTCTCGTGTTATTTTTGTCTCTTCCCATAAAATTATTGTGGTCAGGGGGGCTCCATCAAATTGCATCTTAGTTTACATGCATATGACAGGATTTACATTACATAATGTCTTTAACGATAGAAGGTTTTTAAATATAACACATACACACACATTCAAATTACAATCCAATATTCTACATTTATAACAACATTTTAGATTTATTAATCAAGAAGATGATGATCCAATCTTGTCTGTGAATCTTTAAAAAAAAATATTAAAAATGAAATAAATTAAAATTGGTGTGAGTGATAGAGATATTCTATCTCTTGTCTTTTAAGTAAGTGATTTTTTTTGGTCAACAACTTAAACAATTGATTGAAAATCCAAAAATCAGCTCTTGTATATACAAAAATTTAATTAAAAAAATTAATTTTTGTCCTTGATATTTTGAGGGATTTAATCTCTCCATAGAAAGAGAGCAAATCACATCATGCAAGTTACTGAGACGCTTTTCGTGTAACTTACGAGCCACTCCGTCTCAATATTATACTTCATATTGATTATTAAAATAAAATACTCTAAGACATGATTTTTACTTTTAGTAATTTTATTTTTAATAAGTTCTAAAAAGTATATTTAAATTAAAATAAAAAGTTAATCATTAGATTCAAGCGAAACATACATTTTAAAACAAATTTCTCATACATTTTGACAATATTAAAAAATTTGTGCAATCCATTTCAAATATTAGAAATTATTATTAATTGTCTTAAAACAGTTGTGATTTATTTTCACATAAAATATTATTTGTCTTATAATAACTAATAAGAAATAAAATTGAAAAAACTTAAAAATAAATTTTCTAAAATTATTTGAAAATTATATAATCGAGCCAAATTTAGATTAGTTATTTTTTAAATTACACTCATGTATGCCGTGTCAGAAAATTAATTTTACTTTGTGTTTTCAAAGCGGCAATTATTATCTCAACTGCCATGTTGGCTTTTGCCTTCTCCGTTTGGTGCGTTTGGGCAGATTCTTAAACAACCTGTTTTTTCACACATACGAAATATCGTCGGGTTCTCAGCCTAAGCCATAAATTTCCACCAACCACCCATGAATACGAAATCGAATAGGATATGAGTTAGTTTGATCCGAGCAGAGTTATGAGTTGGCTTGCCCATTGATGGAGATGAAATCACTATTACCTCTTCTTCGCATGCACTTCGATATTAACGAATGCTTCCTTCTTATCCTACCTCGTTTGACCAATTCATTTTCCTCTAGTCTCTCTTCCTCTTTCATCGCTAATTCTCAGAGACTAGGAGCCATTCCTTACCAGGTTTGTGCTTCGTAATAATGGTGTTTGATCTTCTGTGATAGTGTGTGTGCTTCATTTTGGAAAGTTTTTTTTACTGAATGTCACGAACTTGAAGCTAGTTCAATTTTTTATTTGGATTTTCCTTGTGGTATATAATTTGTTTGCTTGTGCGTCTTTCATGAATTCTCTGTCTGGGACTTTTCATGTTTCTGAAGTTTTTTCGCCACTCTGGCGAGCTGTAAATTGCGTTTCAGTCGATTTATTTATTTATTTTTTAAATTTCGCGCTGTTTTTGAAATAATTACTCTCAGTGACGTGATTTTAGTACTGTATCCTCTGTGATCGTTGGAATGTCTCTCTATTTTTTTTTTTAATCAACGATGGAAATCGTATTTCAGAAAACAACTACTTCTTCACAGGTTAAAGCCTTGTGATTCTGTAGCTGAAGATGGGGAAAAAGCGTGTGATGGTGCCAGTGGAACAGGTTGACTTATCCACTGTCAAATATGAACAAGAGGGTATCCAAGGTCATTAATTCTCGTTTTCGGATGAATTTTTTGGTTTAGTTCAACGATAATATAGTGTGAAGGGCCGATGAATGGGATATTCTGCTCATATTTGTTAGCATTTTTCCTTGTTTTGCAGCTCCACACTTGACTGGATTCCTGTTTAGGTTCTTTGTTCTGATTGTTGAAGCACCACTGATAGGGCCTTTGATAATATCTACACTGCGGAAGTCGAATAAGATTGATGAGGTTGGTTTGTTTGTTTTTCGCTCCAAATAGGTGTTCCATGTTCATGCATTTCATTTGCTGGGTTTAAACTGTGAAATTTCACCGGGGGAGCTATGGTTTATGAGTAGAGTGAGCTTGACAGTTTCAAAGTGAATTGACTAAATGTTTTACTTATTTGCAATCAATAGTTGTTGCGGAACACTGTGATACCAGAAGAACCCATGTTCAAACCTGAATATCCACCTCAAGGTAGCTTCTTCTGCATGTTAGTAATTGATGTCATTTTACAGCGCTTTTGGGAAGGCATATTAATTTTTCTTTGATTATACAACTTCATAATTCTTGACAGAATGGCGAATATTTTTTTTGAACTGAATTCACTTTATCAAAATTAGATTCTTGTCAATCTTTGGGCTAATTAGGATTATTGTAATTTATTAATATTAGAGAAAAGTGCCACGAATTAACTTCTTCAAATAGTTTACATTGGACTGGAGATGTATGATTTATACTGCCCCCTAATACTATGATTTAATTTCAGAAAAGGAACCTGGTGTTGTCATTCTTGATGAAGATGGGAGACCTGATGATCGAGTTGAAGCTGCGTTGAATTGTCTTCCGCATTATGATCCTGCTGCATGCTGGGGGAATTCCTCTTTGCCATTTCGGTACTGGAAAATACGTGATTATGCTTATGCTTATCGATCAGGAAAAGTAACACCATCTATGGTTAGTGGTATTCACTTGCTGAGAACATCTTTTTTATTTTATTCATTTATAGCTATATTGTAAGTAAATTATTCTGGTTTGGATATATAGGTAGCAGAGAATATCATTTCTGTTATAGAGGAGATCAGTAATAAGAAACCCCGGGAACCACTATTGATATCTTTTGATGCTGAGGAAGTCAGGAGGCAGGCAGCTGCATCTACTCACAGATTTGAAGCAGGTATTACTGTTTGGTTCTAACAAAGATAGTGTTGCTGCAGTATGCTTTAATCGTGATTATGCCGACATGTGATGGAATTGATAGTGAATCGCCTAAGACCTAACCCACCTCCTTGACTTTTATCTGATTGCATAGGAAATCCATTATCTATTTTGGATGGAATTTTCATGGCCATTAAGGATGACATAGATTGCTACCCCCATCCATCTAAGGGTAAGTTAATATTTCTTTTAGTGAATAAATATAAAAAATATTTATATTATTTCATGGTGGCGATAGGTGCTACTACATGGATGCATGAGGTACGCACTGTTAAAAAGGATGCTGTCTGTGTTTCAAGGCTGCGCAGCTGTGGCGTCATATTTGTGGGGAAGGCAAATATGCATGAGTTGGGCATGGGAACGACAGGGAATAATCCTAATTACGGGTGAGACTTTATCTTAGGTGAATTATGATTAACTTAATTAAGGATGCCATCTCAACATCAAAATTTGATCTTTTACAATGACGAAATCAGACAGCTTTAGAGACTATTTAGTCTAATTAAATTTATGAAGTATTGGAGTGTCTCTGCTAGCCTTGTTTGGGATGTAATTGGAATCTAAGCATAACTCAATCATTCTTCAGCTCGATTGGGACAAAAGTTAATTAAGTGGAGAGGCTAAATGCTTGAGTCCTGTTATTTTCTGTTCCATCAGGAGTTGTAGAATAAATGCATGTATGATGTATCTGATCACCTAGATAGCTGAAGGTTAGATTTTTTTTTAATTAAAAATTCAATGGTAGCAAAGCTAATATTAGTATAGCATTTTCTGTTTATCTTGTGAAAATTTCTTTTTCCATAACTGCCAGCTTTAAGCAAATTGTTTTTATATTCGTTCCCTACATATTCACTTTGCTTACTGTCAAATCAATCAAGAGCTTTACACTGTAAAGGGTGCAAAATACAAGATGGCAGAGAAAATATGTCAAAGCCATTCAAAAATTTTAAGAGAGATCTTTCCACACTTTTAATTGCTATTAATGTTATTTAACTTTTAATGTCAGCTATTAGTAATTTTCACATTTCAGTGCACTTGTAAATTTTTTATATAATCCATGTAGCTGACTCCACCTAGTGGGATGAGGCTGCTTGTTGTTTTTGTTGTTGTAGTACACTTGTAAATTTAATATATCTTCTACTCTGTTTCTTGAGCGTTTAGTCTGCTCATAGTTTCCTCATGTTCTGTATCAAAAATTTTATCATGATGGCTGGTTTTTCAATTTAACTTTCTTGAAGTGCAGAACTACAAGAAATCCTCATGCACCTGATAGGTATACTGGTGGATCTTCTTCAGGTCCAGCTGCAATTGTAGCTTCTGGACTTTGTCCTGCTGCACTGGGAACTGATGGGGGAGGTTGTGCAAATACAACATGTAAAATTGAATGATTTATCCCCATATTTCATCTGTTCTGATTTTAATGTTTGCCTGGAAATGAATGAGAAAGGCAGGTTCAGTCCGCATTCCTTCTTCCCTTTGTGGTGTAGTGGGGTTAAAGACAACATATGGACGGACAGATATGAAAGGGTAATTTCTGACCCCATGTGATGGACCATATGATTTGATTTTCCAATATGCATTATATATGGTCTAACAAGACATTTTAGTCCTTGGTAAGACTATCGAAATCTTCAATTTCATTTAGGAATTTGGGTGAGAATGCTTGGATTTGTTCCTCTGGATTTTTTTGATGTAAATCTTTACTTTGAGGTGAAGGCTATAGTTTGAATTGTGATAATCAATAAAATTAGTATGAATAATATTCCCTAGACTATTAGACCTTAAAAAGCTATTCTCAGATATGTTATGAGATTTTGGAAGTCAGAAATGAACAATCTTCTTCATGTAAACTGTGAAGCTGTCCCAATTGTGGGATAGATTTATTGGAAATTTTATTAAACAAGAAGTTTGTCCAGCCTTACATAACTTTTTTTGATCAGATTTAGATGTTTTGGTAGAGATAAGGAATGTAAGATCTCTGGAGATTTGATGTTAATGCAGGCTTGTTGGCTTTATGGACAGAATGAAATTTGTGGAATTTTAGCAAGAGGTTCCCATTGCACTGTTAATGGAATAGAGTAGTAGAGTATTTTTTTCGTGACTTCTTTGGGTTCATGGTCATGATTTATTTGAGGGAGTTCTTGGGTTGTTATGTAATTGTAATATTAAGAGGTTAGTTACTGTTAGTTCATTAGAGTTAGTTATAGTGGGTCTTCTTTAGTCTTCTCTAGTGGGTCTTCTTTAGTCTTCTTTAATGATGAGCAAGAACCCTCTGCCGCTCGAAGAGATAGTGGGCCTTCTTTAGTCTCCTCTCAAGAAGTGTGTGAGAGGGTGCAACAACCCTTGATGCAAGATGGTGACATCAAGAAGGAGCATTGGTGTGAGTTCGATTCCAAAGAAGTGGGTTCAAGGTTTTGCAAATGGGGCTGTTCAGAGCAACTAATCGCCACCCGATGAAGTAAACAGTCTGGTTCAACCAATTGAACCAATCTGGCATTTGACCCGGGAACTGGACCCGGGTCAACCCGGGTCAAAGCCAAAAAAAATAAAAAAAAAAATTTAGACTAAATTGCTTAGATTCACAATTTCTCTTCTCTAATCACTAATTCTCTCCTTTCTTCTCTTCTCTAATTTTTAATCTCTCCTTCATGGTCCAAACTCAATCTCTAACTTTTCCTCCAGCATCTGCCTCCAGCTTTAAAGATATAATATTTAGCATTGAGATCGAAAGCTTATGAGTCATGACATGACAGTATGCCTCTAGCTCCAACATTTTCCTTTGAGATCATAAGCTTGTATTGACATGCCTCTACCTCTAGCTCCAATGATCCAAGTATCTAGCTTTTGGAGTTGAAATCCCAAGCACCATTAACAAATTAATGTTTTATTTATATAATTGCACATATAAATTTTATTTTTTATTTAATTTTTATGTCACCGGTTTGATCGCCGGTTTAACCGGTTAGACTATGAAAACCGCGACCCGTTGCTCTTTCCGGTTTGATGTCCGGTCCGGGTTTCAAAACATTGGTTCAGAGTCTTTTGCAGTTGGAGTTCGCAAACATGTTTGCCGTCGCTTGCATTTAAAGACCTAATTCAGATGAAGGGGTGGAGTACTTGAGTAAAGCCAAAGAAGGTTAGAAAGATTGTCGTCTTCACTGCTGTCTTCTCTAGTATCTCCATTGCAGTCTGTTTTTGTATCTTCAAAGCAATCTTTGCCGTCTGCTTCTTTTCTTGAAATACTCTGTGTCATTATTTTTCTGGATGAGTTTTCTGCTTCCACTGCTCAGAAGATCATGTGGGGATGTGCCTTAAGTGCTGAAAAGTCAACGGCACCCATCTCTTTCTATTGGTGGGACCTGCAAAGGTGGTACCAACTACTAAAAGTAAGAAAGAAGGAGGAAAAGGACAAAATGGGTAGCAGCACGGCTAAGGTCTCGTGAATGGGCAGATGGATAAGTGTTAGCTTGGCAGAAGTATTGCACACGTGGGTGCATAGGTCAAAGACAGATTTCCTCTATTTTCAAATGGTTATTGCTTTTGTGGTTTTAGTAGGTGCCAGCTATCATCCACTGTCAATATATGGGCTCAAAGGTCAAATAACATGGCCGATATTATTTGCATAAGTCCATTAATGAAGGAAGTTCTTTGCTGGGCTTCAACCATTTAATTACTTCCTACCCATTTAATTGTTTTGCTGTGGTATAGAGGGGAATTGATTAAAATGCTGTCAGGTCAGGTCTGAATGAGTTTCTTCACTTTATTCAAGCACTGAACAGTGAAGTGAATAGTGAAGTAAAGAGAACAGTGAACAGTATCTTCCAGGAGTTTATTGCCCTCTTTTCAATATTTCAGTTAAAAATACCCTCAGATTGCTGTGCATGACCTTTGAGGGCAAAGGTCTTTTGGGAGGGTGGTATTGTTATGTACTTGTAATATTGAGAGGTTAGTTATTGTTAGTTCATTAGAGTTAGTTATAGGAGGATAGTTGTTAGGATCTTATTAAAGAGCCTCTAAATGCTAGGTCATTTGACTCGTAATCCTATCTCTGATCAGTGAAGTGTATTATTCAGAATCTTCCATGTTTCTCAATTCCTTTCAACCTCTCCTTCTCTCTAATTTCCTCAATTCCTCTTTGTCTCTTCTCTCAATCTTCCTGTTCTTCTCTCCAATCTCTCCTATCTCTCTCTATTCTCTCTAGCATCCTGAATTATTCTTTCACAACAGTGGTATCAAAGCCAGTCATCCTTAGCCATTGCACACCATTCATTCCAAGAATATGAGGATGACCACCAAATGTGGCTTTGTCAATGAGGGAGCATGAAAGAATTCAATGAACTCTTTGATAGCCATACTAGTGGATTCAAATTGCAAGAAAAATATTTAGTTTCTACGTATGTAACTAGGCTCAAGGCAAAACTTGTAGAACCAGTGCGTCTCTTCAAACCAAGAACAATGCAAGAAGCTAGAAGTCTTGCAAGAATGCAAGAAATCATGGTTATGCGTCAGACATAAAAGAAGGCACAGGCACTTCAAGATAATTATGGGTCATGAAAGGTTTTGGAGAATGATGAAGGAAGTACCCCTCTACAAGATCGCAACTAGAATGATTGAAGTTGAAGTTGGGCCTTCCTTACCAGTGCAAGAATGCCAAGAATTGCAAGATGATGGCAGTGATTTCAAGAAGGTTTCTTTGTGCGAGTTGGAAAGTAAAGTAGGCTCGAGCATATCTAAATATGGCTTCTTAAGCTCTTTCACTGCTGGTGTGGGTAAAACCGTCAATCCTGACTTGAGTTTAGGTAACCGACACTATTTGAAACATCAATGTTGCCCACTTGTAGAGCCATTGTCACCATCTGTACCAATCTTCTCTTCGCCTCTGTTTTTGATCAACCCGTTGTTACCTATTTCTATTTTTCTGCCTCCAACACAAGCTTCTCCGTGGCTGTCTCTTGTTTCTCGGGTGTCACTATGGCTGTCTTCTTTGGTTTCTCCATTGCAGTCTGATTCTATAATTTCAAATGCTTCATGGCTGTTTGCTCCATCACCACCACTCCTTTTTGTCTTCTTATCAACATGTGTATGTCTTAGCCATACCCATTTAAAGACTCTAGACTTCTCATAGGTACAGGACTTGGGTGGACTTTTCACAACAGGAAGGCCATGTGAGAGTAAGCTTTGATGGGTTTTTACTGGGGTTTGCACACGTGGGTACATGGGTCAAAGACAACTATCCCTCCTTATCAAGTGGGCGGAGTTTTAGTAGATGCCAGCTATCACCAATACTCAATATATGAGTTCAAGTTTTAAGAAAGAAACAGGAACTCCCTATTTTTTCTATTCACACATTCGTGTGGCTAGGTCCTATAAAGGGTGAAAAGTCAAAACCTAATTTCTCATGTAGGTCGAAACTTCAGACACAGAAGCTGTACCTTTTATCTTTACTGAACCTGAACCAGCTTCTGAATTGGGGTAATTGTGTGGGTGGAATGTCACTCAAAGACATTACAATCATTGGATTTTTCTCTGTCTTCAACTCCTCCCTACCCATTGGTTTGTTCTTCTGTGGTACAGAGGAGGATTATTAAAAATGCTTTTGGGCTCAAGTATGGAGCTAATTATTTCCATTTATTCAGCATCAACAGTGACTAATGGCAGTGCACAGTAACATGAACAGTGACAAAGAACAATGAACAGTACCTTCTAAGAGTTTAATGCTCTTTTTTTAATATTTCAGCATAAGTTTCCTCAAATTGCTGTACATGACCTTTGAGGGCAAAGGTCTTTTAGGAGGGGCTATTGTGTAATTCTAATATTGAGAGGTTAGTTACTGTTAGTTCATTAGAGTTAGTTATAGGAGGATAGTCATTGGGATCTCATTAAGGAGCCTATAAATACTAAGTCATTTGACTTGTAATCCTATCTCTATGATGAGTAAAGTGTATTATTCAGAATCCTCTGTGTTTCTCAATTCCTCTCAACCTCTCCTTCTCTCAAATTTCCTCAGTTCCTTTCTGCTCTCCTATCTTCTCTGTTCTTCCATCAATTCTCTCTATTCTTCTTAACCTCTTTCATTCAGAATTATCTTAGCACAACATGGGTTAGCAGAGCTCCTTTGTATTTGTTTCTGCTTTTGCTCTCCTTGTACATGCTATTCTTTCACTTGATAAAATCTTTCTTATCAATAAGAATATTTTCTTACAGAATATTTATATCTGTTATGACTTTTGGTCATAGAGGGGACTTTCTTACATCTTACAACGGGGGTAATTGAGCAGATTGCATTGTCTCGTAGGTTGGAGCACTTTAACATAAATTTGTACAAAAAACATTATCATCTCTTGCCCATGAAACTTGTATGTAGTATTCCAGACAGAAACATGTCTGAATGGTGCTTCAATAAAGTATTTGATTGATCCATGTCCATTATATATAGAAGAAGGATTGGAGAGAACAAAAAGGGGGTGAGAGGAATGATGAGGTCTCACACAATGAGATGTCCCTTGCGTGAGCGTAACTAACATCACATGGTACATGGATGTGGGGGAGGAATAGAGAAGAGAAAGAAATGCTGCTAACTAAGTTTAAGAGCTGGAGGTAAAGTGAAAGGCGAAGGAATAATTTTTTCCTGAGAGAGCCCTTAACCTCTCAAATGCAGAATTTTATTTTGCTTTCTCCTTTCGGTTTTGTATCCACGTAAACGTCCTAGAATGTCAAATTCATTTGTCTGTCACTGTTAAATAGGAGTTACAGCTCATTATACAGAGAATGAGAGTTCCCAGGCGTTCCCTCCAAATACTCAAAATTTTTCACTACGCATGCCCGTATTTTCTGATTATGTTTGAATTTTCAGTCTCTTTTTGCAGGTCATTATGTGATTCTGGGACTGTGGAAATTATTGGACCCATTGCTTCAACAGTGGAGGATGTCATGCTAGTGTGCGTAATTCATACTTGTCTCCCTGTCTTTCTTTTGTTTTGACCATCTCTTCATTTTACTTGACGGCTTCTGGTTTTGCATTACTTGAAATCGAGATATTTTTCCTCTCTCCTCTATTTATGTTTGAATAATCTCACTCCCTTTCCATAATTTATTTTGTTGCAATCCTTTTTTAGCATTCAAAACATCCAAGAAAAGATACTATTGACAAATTACAAAATATTCTTAGTAACATAACATGTGTGTGTATATAAATATTTACTTTGAAAGCTGCGCACGTATAAATCTATTTTCTAGATTTCCTATATCACTAATGACTTCTGCATGTGCTTAATAGATATATTTTTCCAATCATAAGGATCAAATGAGTTGACTGACCAAAATGTAATTCCTTTTTGTTGCTCTCCACTACGAACTCCTCAATGATATTTAGAGTTCATGAACTTGTCCATCCAATTGTTTTTGTCAAGTACTAAAACCCTGACCATGATGTCTTCCTTCTTTAACATCATATTCCAACCTTGGAGTTCTTGCATGTAGATAATTTTTACTTCATAAATAATTATTGATCAGGTATGCAGCAATGTTGGGTTCATCACTTGCAAACAAAATCAGTATGAGACCGGTAATTAATCTTTAACTTTGGTTTATATTCTTAGAAATAAGTATAGAAGACTAAAATTTAACGTTGAACTTCTAATTGTAAATTACATAGAAGTTGGCTCAAATAAATTCTGTGCGGAGCTACATATTCTTAGCATAGAAGTGGACTGGAGAATAGGAATAAAAAAGACGACTTTTCACTTATAATTTAGGAAAGGTAAGGAGACAATTTTCAAATTTCTAAGAACACTTTTCCGGGAAACGTTACCAAAAGTATTTGTGATAGCTTCTGTTTTCCTTGGGTAATTTTTTTACAATATTAAACCAGGCCATGCTTTTTTCTCGCATACATGTTTCTTTATTACCTTTTTCAATATCAAAGCAGATCTTCTGCTTCTTGTACAGAATTACCATGTGGTAGATCCATATTTTTATTCCTAGCTATTCAGTTTTGTATATATATTTTTTGATTTCAGGAAATTAAAATACAAGATAAAAACAATCTTCTAAAGACAAACGAATTGTTTTCACTAATGTTTTGCTTCCTTGAAAATAAAGAGACTAGTAAATTTAGATTGTTTACACTTATATGGAGTGCTACTTCTGTGCAAAAAGCAAAGGATCTGTTTTGATTCCAATATCATGCCTAGTCTTTTCTCATCTTCTTTTCTTCAAAGTGAATGATAAGATTCCAGATAGCGTGCCCATAAAGACTTATTCAAGAAGGAAGCATCAGAAGATAAAATAGGATAAATTAAGATAGATTATTTGATTCAGTATTTTATTTAGTATTTTATTTCGTATTTTCCTCTATTTAGTTTTTATTTAGATTTCCCTAGATTTTATTTAGTAGTTTAGATTTAATTCAGTATTTTAGATATTTGGATTTTATCTAGTATTTTGGATTTTAGGAGATTTTATTTAGTTTTCTAGTTATCTAAATTTTATTCAATATTTTATTGTATTTAGCTTTATAAATATGACTAGCAACTTAGAAGCTAACATATCATGAATAAATAAAATAGTCTTTCAAACCCTTTAGAGATTCTCCTAAGCGTGGCTATTGAGAGAAGTATAGAACAAGATTTTGTTCTATACCCTCCCAATAACCCATCCAATGTTTCCCCAGAAAATCCTAACCTGCTTGCACATGATCTGGCTCTTATGTCTTCTAAATTAGAGAAACTTGACATATTACAAGAAAAGATAGAAGCCCTAGAAGCATCAGTGACACAAAGAAGTAGAAGGACTCCAAAAAGCCAACATAGACACCGTAACTGGGATGAGGAAAGTGAAGAAGAATTCGATTATTAAAAGAGGGGGACATGTCTGCCTCAACCCAAAATAAATTTTCCTAAATTTATCAGTGGTGATCCTCGAGGATGGATTCTTAAAGCTAAAAAATATTTTCAGTATTATCATGCACCAGAAGAATTAAAGGTGGATATAGCATCTATGTCATTAAAAGGAGATTCCTTGGATTTATTCTCATGGTTAAATTTAGAGCATACCTTACTATATTGGGATGAGTTAGTGAAGGCGTTGCAGGAGAACTACGGACCACCTAAATATCAGAACCTGGACGAATATTTATGCAGAATCAGGCAAGATGGTTCTATATAGGAACATCAACAGGAATTTGTAAGACGTGTTGCTAGAGTGAAAAACTGGCCCGAACATTGCCTTCTCGACATGTTTCTCAATGGGCTAAAGGGGGAGCTTCGATTTGATGTTCAAATTCAAACCCAGGAGCGTATATCATGTGCTCAGCCTTGCTCTGGAATTCGAAGGGAAGATGGCCTTAAACAGACCCAAATTGAATCTGGGTAAAAACCCGACCCAACCTTATTATGGGTCCTCAGCCACCACACGCGACTCAAATCAACCACAGAAGAGGTTAGCTGGATTCTCATCGTCGAACTCAAGCCTGAACGTACAGGGCCCCGATACATGCTGCGTCATCCTTGGCCTCCCTCACTCAAACAAACGTGAATCCCTCCAAGCTCTCTCCAGTCGACCACTCATTGAGTTGACTAAGAAGGATGCCTTCCTATGGTCTGAACTAGCTTAGCAGGCTTTTAATTGCCTTAAACTTGCATTGATGACGGCACCCATCTTACAGTTGCTAAATTTTGAGGCGGAATTTATAGTTGAATACGATGCATCCACAAAAGGAATTGGAGTACAAAACAACCATCCCATTGCTTACTTCAGTAAAGGATTTTTATTCTCTAATCGCTTCAAATCCACTTATGATCTTGAACTTCTAGCGTTAGTTCTTGCAGTACAAAAATAGAGCCATTACCTCTTCGGAAGGCATTTATTTGTCAGAACGGATCATGCTAGTCTTCAATATTTGCTACAACAATGCATCACCACCAACACCCAACAAAGGTTAATCATCAAGCTTTTACCATTTAATTTTACTATCATCCATAAGGCAAGAGTGAAAAATAAGGGAGTTGATGCATTATCACGATGACTATAGCATGCAGATTTTTTTCAGTTGCTAGTCCCTTTCACTACTGAGCTTCATGACCTCACCTCTGAATTAGCATTAGATCCCTTCACTAATGAAATAATGCAGGACTTACAGAAAGATCCATTGTCTTGACCTATATTTCATTGGTTGATCAAAAACTTTTTTATGACCACAAAGTAGTCATTCCCTATCAAAAACTTTTTTATGATCAGAAAAAGCTTATGACCGTATACCAAGAGAAGTGTTTTGAAAAGCGTTGGAAAAAAAGGGAGTACGGATTGCTTATATTAAAGCCATACAAGATATGTATGAGGGGGTAAAAACTAGTATAAGAACGCCTATTGGTCAAACAAAGGATTTTCCTATAAAGATTGGACTACATCAGGGATCATCTCTGAGTCCTTATTTGTTCAACTTGATTTTAAATTTTTGACGGAACATATTCAAGAGGAAATCCCGAAATGTATGCTCTTCGCGGATGATATAGTTCTTATAGCAAAGACAAGAGAAGAGGTTAATTGTAAACTTGAGTTATGGAGGAGGATATTGGAGTTGAAAGGTTTTCGTCTAAGTAGAAGTAAGACGGAATATTTATATTGTAAATTTGGTAAAGAACTATTCGACAATAATTTGGAAGTGAAATTGGGAGATCAAATTATACCTCAAGTGAAAGAGTTTAGATATTTGGGAGCCATTATTCAAAATGATGGCGAAATCAGTGGAGATATTTCACATAGAATTCAAGCTGGGTGGTTTAATTGGAGAAAAGCTAAAGGAGTTATTTGTGACCGTAATGTGCCTAATAAACTTAAAGGAAAGTTTTATTGCACTGCTATCAGACCGGCAATGTTATATAGTAGTGAATGCTGGGCTCTAACGGGACAGCAAGAGCATAAAGTTGGAGTAGCAGAGATGAGAATGTTACGATGGATGTGCGGACATAGATGTAAAGATAAAATTCAAAATGAGCACGTACGCGAAAAAGTGAGGGTGGCACCTATTGAGGAAAAAATGGTAGAAAATCGGTTGAGATGGTTTGGGCATGTACAAAGAAGACCAAGGGAGGCACCAGTGAGAAGAGTGGAACATATAACTTTGAGTCCGATTAAGAGAGGTAAAGTAAGGCCTAAGAGAACACTCTTGGAGGTTGTTGAACGCGATCTCTTAATTAATAATATTCCTAAAAGCTTGATAAATGATAGAGCACAATGGCGCCTTGCAATCCATGTAACCGACCCCACCTAATGGGATAAAGGCTTGTTGTTGTTGTTGTTGTAAAGTAGTCATTCCCTACTCATCCCAATTGCGACCTAAGTTACTAGCAGAAGCCCACTCGACTGCAGTTAGGGGACATGGAGGTTTTCTTAAAACATTCAAGCGACTATCAAAGAACTTTTATTGGCCTACAATGAAGGTTGATGTGAAGACATATGTGAGGCATTATGCCACTTGTCAGTAAAATAAGTATCAAACTTTGGCACTAGCGGGACTTCTGCAACCATTACTTGTACCCTCTCAGATTTGGGAGGATATCTCACTTGATTTTATCACTAGTCTCCCTAAGTCAAGAGGTTTTGAGGTCGTCGTGGTAGTAGTAGATCGTTTGAGTAAGTATGCCCATTTCCTTGCTCTTGTGCGTCCATATACCGCCAAAAAAGTGGCCACAATCTTTTGTGAGGAACTTGTCAAGTTACATAGGGTGCCTCGCTCAATCGTATCTAATAGGGACCCTATCTTCATGAGCTCTTTCTAGCAAGAATTATTCAGATTAAGCCAGACTAAATTAAAAATGAGTATTGCCTTCCATTCCCAAACTGATGGTCAGATGGAGGTGGTCAACCGTTGTCTTGAAGCCTATTTGTAATGTTTTGCACATAAGCAACCCAAGTCATGGCACAAGTTTCTTTGCTAGGCCAAATGCTCCTACAACACAGGTCGTCATACATCAACCAAACATTCTCCTTTTAAGCTAATATACAGAAGAGATCCTCCTCCCTTGTTTCCTTATGTCAAGGGAGAAACAACTATATTTGAATTGGAAGATCAACTAGAAACTAGAGATGTAATGCTCAGACTCTTGAAGGACGATTTATACAAGGCTCAGGACCGGATGAAGGCTTATGCTGACAAACATTGAAGAGAAGTTGAGTATACCGTGGGTGATGTAGTGTGGCTACGAGTACAGTGCTTTTGTCAACAATCACTTACCAAGATGAAGTTTGAAAAATTATCACCTCGCTTCTTTGGCCCTTACAAGATTCTTTGAAGGATTGAAAAGGTGGCCTATGAGTTGGAACTTCCGGCAGATGCTCGTATTCATCCTATTTTTCATGTATCTCTCTTATGCTCGACTTATCAGATGGACGCGTCAATTACACCAGCTTCTTTACCACTATTGGCTGGTTTTGAGTTACATGTGAGGCCTCATCAAGTCTTAGATCATCGTTAGACCCGTCATCATTCATTTAAACTGCTGTTGGAATGGCATAGGCGACCTATGGAGGAAGCAAGCTAGGAGGACTATGACCTCTTGCGTGTTCAATTCCCCTCTTTTCAACTTGAGGACAAGTTGAGTTTTCAAGGGCGGGGTAATGATAAGATCCCAGATAGCGTGCCCATAAAGACTTATTCAAGAAGGAAGTATCAGAAGATAAAATAGGATAAATTAAGATAGATTATTTGATTCAGTATTTTATTTGGTATTTTCCTCTATTTAGTTTTTATTTAGATTTCCCTAGATTTTATTTAGTTGTTTAAATTTAATTTAGTATTTTAGACATTTGGATTTTATCTAGTATTTTGGATTTTAGGAGATTCTATTTAGTTATCTAGTTATCTATATTTTATTCAATATTTTATTATATTTAGCTTTAAAAATATGACTAGCAACTTAAAAGCTAGCATATCATGGATCAATCTTTCAAACCCTTTGGAGATTCTCCTAAGCGTGGCTACTGAGAGAAGTATAGAACGAGATTATTATTCTATACCATCTTAATAGATTTATTTCTCTTATTTCATCCTACCATCGTGAGCACCTATTGGTGAATTACTTAAATCCTAATTTTGTACTTGCAAAACCATTTGGAAAATGCTGCACCACTCATTTTCTGTTTGGAGTAGTCCTTGCAATGAGTGCAAGTCTCTGTAGCATTTTCTCCTTTTTTCACTTGAATCATTTTAACATGATCATCTGTTATCTACTAATAATCAAACATATTGTACCTTGTAACATAATTTTTGAATTCTGACGGAGGATCACCCCTGCTAAAGATAATACACTTCTCCATCCCTTTGGTATGCTAGTCCAAAACACCAAAGCTAATCAAACAGATATAAATGATGACAAGTAGCCTTTCTAGAACAACTTAAACAAAATTAATCTGCTTGAGTAACTAGAATCTGTTCTATTAAGACATCCAATTGAAAAGGTTAAACTGTTAGGAAGGATACCAATATACTATGTATTATGTATAATCAATATATTATATATTGAGATATATATATATATATGTATAAAATAAAATTCATAACAAGTCACACTATTTACAAACCATTAATAGTATAACTTCTTCAAATTCCTTGCACTACACAGGAGGTGTCTAGTTATATATTTTGTGTGGAGTTTCAGTCTTTATTGGAAAGGAGACACTTGGCTAGTGTTTGCAATCCAACAAAGGACATGATGGTTTTATGTGAAAACAGAAAATTATCCTGGTCGATGAAAAGCGCCACCTTGTATTTGAAGTTAAAATTATAGTTAAGCTGTTCTTGTCATTTTGGATTTTATATCAGTCTGTGCAATACTTTTTGTGTACTGATTATATGCATTTTTTCCCCAGTCACCACCTTGTTTGCCAAACCTGTCATCCTATGATGATTCAAATACTTTGAGATCATTGCAACTAGGAAAGTACACTCCGGTAATCACCATATACTTTGAAAATTGATTGTATTTATAGTATAATATGATATATTTTCTTGACAAATAGTATATTTTAATTCCTATGCAGTGGTTTAATGATGTGCATTCAACAGAAATCTCTGATAAGTGTGAGGATGCTCTTAATCTGCTATCAAAAAATTATGGTTGTGAAGTAAGTTTACAGTATCATGTTATAATTGATTGTATTAAAATCTAGTTTTTTGATTATTGAAAAGAGAGTAAGTTTTAAGTTTAGCATAAGGGAGTCCAAAAAATTCTGAGCACTGCTTTTTATCTTATTACCTATGAAGACAGTAGAGATTGTGGTACCAGAGCTTCATGAGATGCGAACTGCGCATGTTGTTTCCATTGGCTCTGAATGCATATCATCATTAAACCCTGATTGTCTGGACGGGTATGTTTTTGAGTATTTTGAAGCTTAAAGCTAGTAATCTTATATTTTCTCTGAATGTAACAAGGCAGTATGGTTTATTTGTTGTTTGGATAACTCATTCTTCTCATCTGTTGTTGAAGTTTGTAAAACTGGTAACTGTCAACGTCTAGGAATGCATATTGAGATATGTAGATCATGTTCACTCTAATTCTTCTGTTGTAGGAAAGGGACAAGATTGACATATGATACCCGTACAAGTGTGGCACTTTTTCGATCATTTACAGCAGGAGATTATGTTGCAGCTCAATGTCTCAGGTGATGCAAGCGATACGTTTATGAAAAGAAGCTAACTTAGCTTTGGTTCTACTTCAAATTATGTATCACTTTTCAATGATTTAGGAAATTCATATGCTGCAACTGTCAGAAATATTACTTATGGAGACTCTTTAATACAATTTAAACCATAAATGTAGATTCTAATCTTTTTTTCCCATTTCAGACGAAGGCTCATGCATTACCATATGGAGATTTTCAAGAAAGTGGATGTTATAGTGACTCCAACAACTGGGTATGTACATTTAACAAACAGTTGTGATCTATTGTGATGGACCTTGAACTAATTATAAAATTCAGGTCAATTAATTAAACATTCATATATGCTCTTGCCATCATGTATTACTTGTATGATTTTTGAGACAGATTCTAATTGTAAGAGCCCTATCAAAAATAATATTGAATTGTAAGTGACAACAATCTCAACCCTTTATAGAATTTACAATTACAATTGAAGAAGACGTAGATGGTTTGATAGGGCAGTGGAAATTGAATAATCATTGTTATTGCAAATTGTAAATACCTGTTGACCGAATCAAACTTCTAATCATTTTTAGGATTAAGGCTTTCTTGTTGATGCTGGAATCATGTATGTCCAGAAACAGAATTTGAATTACTTTTTATTTCCTGACAGCATGACGGCACCTAAAATACCACCAAGTGCTCTCAAAAGTGGTGAGACAGATATTCCGGTTACAGGTGATTTGATATTTGGCTTCAGTGTTACATCCAATTATTCTTGCCTCTTGCCATGTGTTAATTTAAGGCTTGGTTTTCAGGTTATCTCATGCGTTTTGCTGTAACAGCAAATCTTCTTGGGTTCCCTGCAATTACTGTCCCTGTGAGTGAGAGTGAAGTGAATCACTTAAAGAGACTATTTCTTCTTTAACTGTTTGTTCTTTTGGTGTAAATAGTGCATGATTATTGCTTATACTCTGAAATGCTGTTTTCTTCCTTTACTTAACATGTTCGGTTCAATATTTAGGTTGGTTATGACAAAGAAGGACTTCCGATAGGCTTGCAACTAATAGGTCGACCATGGGCAGAAGCTACGATTCTGCGTCTAGCTTCTGCAGTTGAGGTACGTACTCTGTCATGCATAAACTGAAGAGTTTAAATAATTCTGATTATCCATTTGATTACCAAATCTTTACCTTGTCAACAAAATTTATTTCATTATCACGTCATTGGAAAGATTGTGTTAGACATTCAGAATCCATCATCAGACTTGGTAGTATGGGTTATCAATTCCCATATTGAATAGAGTATGAAATGCTTAATGGGATATTTAAGTAGATTAGTTTTCCCGTCTCAATAGCTAATTTTTTGGATAGGGTTTCTCATCCTATTTAGATACCTATTAAAATCTTAGTAGGTATATTTGTAAAGAAGCTAAGTCTCTTGATCTATGCTATCATGGCCTCAGCATAGTTTCCATTTGCGTTCAATATGTGGGTTAATCTGCCTCTCTGTTTAATGTACCCAGAAACTCTGCGGCGAGACGAAGACAAAGCCTGTACAATTCTATGATGTCCTGAGAGCAAACTGAAGCTGCGTTTATCACAGCTAAAGCCTCTGCTGTATCCGTCATTCGTCAGTTATTATGTGGACAGTATGTTTGATTCTCTGGACATCCCATGTCTTTGAATGATGCTATGATTTTACGAATACTTCCTGGGAAATATTTTCTGCAGATAAGAGTTGGTAATAACTTCAAGATAAAACGTTGATCTTGAAATATGAAATGGGAAAAACATATTATTCTTCTTGAATACCGTTAAATATGTTACAAAAATTACACTCTGATTCAGATACAGTTATCAATTCAATGTCTCACTGGTATAAGTAATACATACTTCCTCCAGTCCATAATATGGAATATTTTCTGTAAGTTATTATTGATCTAAAACATAGGATATTTTGTAGTTTTAAGAATTTTTTTCATTTTTATGTTTAGATTTATCAATATGAATTGAGTAATTATGTGTGGAAAATTGTGGATGTTAGTAGCGGACAAAAGTAAAATTGAAAAAAAAAATCATAAAATTTTAAAAAATTGAATTTTCTTAACATGCGTTGTACATGTTGAAAGTGTAACATATAAACTGAAACGAGTATAATACATTGGTTGATAGGAGTATCTTCTACTTTGATTCTTAATTTAGAGAGTTTGTTTAATTTATTCCCTCGAATTTTAAAGTTGATTATAGCTTTTCATGTTGATCATGTACTCTTTCACATAAAATAAGAGTTTAAAACTAAATTTCTATCAAACAATCTCTCAGTCCAAAAGTTGGGCCACCTCACCAGTTTTGTTTGGAAATGTGCAGCTGGAGTGTGTGGGTGGCATGTAATAGACAAATTTGACATGTCTATTTTGAAATGGCAAATAATGACAATTGAAATTAATTTAATTGGCACTATATTTTTTGATGCTCTAAATCGTGCTTTCAACTCACAAATTAAATTATCATAAAAATTAAATTTATAAATGAAATCTCAAATAAAACTGAGTAAATAGGTATACATATGCAAGGATTGTTTTTTGAGCTACCGAACAGACCTGTAATAGTTTCAGCACAAAAGTAACCATTCTTTAGAAGTATAATTTTAGGGAGGGGGAAAAAGACCCCGATATCTCGATTCAGGACGAAAATATCTTTGCGTAATAATGGAGCACCTGAGCTATTTTCAGAAACTCAACGTCTCAATGGCCTACAAAGTAAGTGTGTGTTTGATTTTCAATTTATGCAAAAGTTCATTTGGAGGATCTAACCATTTGTTGAATTTGATAAAAACACATCTCAAATGTGGTTTGGATGTATTTTTAAGAGTTATCCAAACAGATCCTAAAATTCTAATAGAAGTCGAAAAACTAGACCTCTATTCCTCTTTGTTCTCATCAGCAACATCACTGGGGAGATCCTGCCCACAAGGTACGTTGCCTGGATAGTTAGTGTTGGTTGAAGCATGCGAACCCGTCATGCTGGCGGCCAAAAAAATTATTTAATTTGGAAAATCATAATTGATTAAGATGTAAGGAGCTTCTTTCAATTGTTCAAAAATTGTAATCTCACCTTCTATCAACAATGACCATGGACCGAAGCTCACAATTGGCGAAACTGGAAACGCACATGAAGAAAGTAGTCAGTCACCCACATGCTTCCTCATAGGAACGAAAATTAGCACAACCATGATAACTTTTGTTACAGAGCTGCAAAAGCACAGTTTCTACTATAATTAAGGAATCTATTTTTCTGAGAAATTCAAAGCACACGAGGTCGGTAAAAGATAATAAATCAAAATTAATTATATAGATATATAAGAATGAGACATTGTTTTAGGATAATCACTTAAATGGTCAGGTGCTCAGGTCTACTTGCCCATGGTATAACGAGATCTATTTAACAAACTCTTCTATTTTCTAGACAAATCGTATGGGAACTTACAGGAATAGGGGTATTAATCAATCAGCCCAAAGAGATATTACCTCCACCCCCCTTTATAAGAAATTTAGACAAAATTATGCATATTCATAAATCTTTTTTTTAAACAAAAATATAAATTTTCAAAAATATCTTTGATTTGATAGCGAGAGAAAGAAAAAAAAAGAAAATATTAAAAAGGAAGGGTAATATTAATAAATATATTTAATGAAAACTTTATTTTTGTCAAATTGTCTTATAAGTTAAAAAGAAAAAAATACCATTTAGGTGATTCTTAGTGGGAAATTCACAAACAACTCGTGTTAAAAGGGTGCCAGACAAGTAAATTTTCCAAGAATGAGGCATCAATAAGCTTACTGCTTGCATATTTCCTTCTTCACAACGGGATGGCAATCATTTCCAAAATATGTATTTAGAGTATGAAACAAGAATCCACTATGCGTCACTATAGCTATCTCCTTCTCTTTACGAGTCAACAACCTGTAATTGCGTAAAAAACAGGAGCTTCAAATAATTCGATTACAAAGCATTTAACGGATTTATATTTTCTGACTAATAAACAAAAGAGCAGTCACGAGAAGAAAAAAAATGAATGTAGGAAATTATTTTTCTTTTTATAAAAGAACAGAGGATTACATAAATCTTCAAAAACTTGATAATGGCTCGTTAAACGAATGCTTCTGTATTGGTTCAATGATTACAACTTAAATAGTAATCAGGTTATTTCTTACAATTCTGAGATCAAGACAATTTCTTAATAATTAAGTGGTCGACTCTAACAAAATTCCTACGGAAGTCGGAAGCTATCATACTAATGAACTTCTCTTTCAACTCAAAAGCTCACAGGTTAAAGAAGTTTGGCTTTTAGCAACTTGGATTTTGATTAACAAAGACTCAGCAGCTACTATTAGATTACAATTTGGCATGACGAGCAACAGATATTAAGAGACTTAAGTGGATCTTAATCTTGAACATGTAGTAGGACTACATTATATCTAGGTGGAACCTTGAAAAATAGAAAAACGAAAAAAAAAGAAAAAGAAAAAAAAAGTGATTTCCAGACGTAGCATATCACTTTGTTAACCTTTATATGGTCCTCATATAATCAAGAATCAGGATTACTATTCATACCAGTTCATGAATTCCAAACCCCTTTTTGCAAGTTCTTCCTTTGTCTCCCTAACATCGGCCTTCCACAAAGTATCCTCATTACTATCTATCTGGAGAAAATTCAAAGGGATTTGGCATAAACCCGAAGAGAGCAATAAAACTAATCTGATTTTAAACTGCTTAAGAAAGCTATCAAGCATCTATTGTTATATTTTAAAATGCCATCTTTGATTTGCAAGAAATGCAATACTTGCCAGTGAGAAGTCAACTGCAGGAAAAACGAACTCATATTCGCTGATGCTTCTTCTTTTGTCACAGGGATGCACTCCCTGCACAATAAAACACATGAAAAAATATGCAAGGGTTCTCATGTTAATGTCAGTATCAAGCTTATGAAAACTTGAATAAAAAGTGTGTTGAAATTATTTTTACTTAGCAAAAAAAAAAAAAAAAACTCTCCTGGCAATTTCATAGAAGAGGTGAGAAAATGATGAAGCAAAATAGCAAATACATCTCCTTTAATAATATATACACAACTGATTTACTTTCTTGCATTTGATTCTTGTTCTGTCTGCCAATGGCCTATGAAATTTTTTGCTTCAGTGTTCATTATTCGCTAGTTAGACCATAGGCTTATACTATGACAGACTGATATAAAAACCCATCAAATTAAAACTTTTTTTGATAAACCTATGCTAACTATTTTAAATTTAAAAGTAATGATTTTTAATCACAAGAATCAAGAGATAAAATACAAAACGAACAACTTCACTAGACTGCCCCAGTACTTTTGTTTCAACTTTCAATCACAAGAGATAAAATACAAGACGAACTGTTGTCACTTTATTTAATGAAAAACTAAGAGAAGTGACTCCAGATGTTTTGGCGTTACTGGAACTTAAACTTCATCGTTAAGATCAAGAAATTAAGTATTTACTAACAGCTAAATCTAAAACTTTATAATACATGGCAACGGAAAAATTATCTTGGTGATTATCTTTTCTCCTAAATATTTTTCTTTACTGAGACAGGCCCACATGATGGGAAAGAGACTGAACTTTTTTTTTTGTTTTTGGTAATAGGACAAAAGATGAAAAAATCAACCACAAGAGAAACCTAGATGTCTACTATTGTTCCCTAAAGAACTTCCTAGAAACTGACTCACATGTACCTTATTAAACATACACCTTAAAGTTTGAAACTGTGAAACAAGGAGTCTTGCATCATAAACAATGGAAAAGAGACTAAACTTGTAGACTCTAGATCATGGAATAACGTGAAGTAAGTTATTTTCAAGGCGGATGCGTGATGCCAATAGGTGTAAAGGGGGTTCAAATTGCAAAATTACCCACCAAATGTTCACGACAAAGTTCAACAGCAACTATTGGTGGGCTATTCAGACTCGAAATTGCTGGACGGTTACTGTTTCCTGCATTTGCCACCATAAGTGGCAGTACATCCATCTTATCCACGTAGTCCTCACCACCAAATACTCCAACGGCAGTTTGTAGTGTCCTTAAATGCCAAAGAAACCCTAAGCAATGTTAATCCATACTGTCTCTGCCTCAACTCAGCTGGAAATAATTCAAACAAGCAAAGTACTTCTCCACAAGAAATCCCTGTAGGACCCCATATTTATTGATGGCAAAACACAAGATAGGAAATTATTCTGAGTATAAAGTCGTCATAATAAAAATGAATAATAATTCCTAAAATATATTATGCAAACATTGCTACTCAATTTATTCCCAAAGCTAAGTTTGTTCATATAACAACTGATGCATCCACTGAAAATCAAGTGCCGATCTTTCATTGTGAGTTCTAACATCAACAATGGAATATTTAAACATACACTAAAAAGAAACATCACCAATCCATATAAAGTGACAAAGGGGTTCACTATTAATAATTGATGTTGAATGGCGATTGCCTGTTTCATTTAATACTAAGCAGCACAAATGCTCTCCAGTGATTGAGAGAATTGGGAGACTCTCAGCTAAGTAGCGTCTATGTAACAGTGGTGTTGCCAGTCTCAGTAAGTCACCAGCCTTTCATCTTATTCACCTCCACTGATTCCGATCCAGCCATCCACTCTTTAGATAATTAGAGTGGTTATTTCAGTTACAACAATTAGGTGTCTCCAACGATTATAACAGCCACTTCCCCGTGGCTCTAGTTTCTCCAACCTAATTCTGTTATTCTTGTCAGCAATTTCTAATGGTTTCTTATGCAATACTTTTGCAACATATCAGTCTAAGTCCCCAACTCCCCCTCATTGGTTTCACATCCAAATAGCAAATCTCAAAATCTCCAGCATGTTACCCATTGCAGGCTAGCCAACAATATCTAGAAGCAATCCATTAAGTAGCAGTGTCCGTGTATGTCTTGCGGCAATTGTGTGTATTTGAGGGGAGGGAGTATCCCAGATATATGATTTTCCGGTGCTTGCACCATCCACTGCTGGTCAGACAGAGGAAGAGATTCCATACAGATCAGTATTAAAAAAGCGGATGAAACAGTAGTACCATGTTCAAACATGTCAGCGGACATTTACTTTTAACACAAGTTTTACCAACGAAGTTCCACACTAGAGATATCTGTAGTTGCCCTCTATATTTCTTCCTAGGTAGTCAGTCACTTAACTATAGCATGTAATTGACTGTATGACACTGATCATCCAAGAAAAGCTAATATCCTGCTTGTATAAACTACAAAGTATAGACATAATCATAAATCTAATATCTAGTTGGGCAAGAATGGTACAGAAAACATTGTCAGCAAATCTCTGGAAACAAGGGCAGAATAGGCACAACATTTTTAGACCAACCAATTTCACAAAGAAACCTGAAAGGGTTTGCAATTGATGTGAAGTATCAGGAACAAAATGTTCATTGAAAATTGGAGTATATAGAAAGTGAAAAAGATTGTAGTCCACTGACATTAAGTCTTCAAAATTTCAAGTTCAATTTCTCACCTTTCTCATAATTTCCAGGTTTCTCACCTTCAGCAATATTAACAAAAATAAACTAAGTATTCTTTCTAGCAAAGTAGAAAGCCAAAAGGCTTATAAAACCATAAAAGAAGCAAGAATTCACTGATATCAGTAGATCAAAACACAGGCGTTAGTACCTCAGTAAAGGAGATGCAATTACTAGATCAATTCTCTTTATGAGCCCAGAAGCATGAACATGCTTACGCAAATTGCCAACCTGTCAGTGTAGAGAAATTATTGTTTACTGTCACAGAGTAAAATGTCCTTTTCATCGCTGAAAGCCACAAGACAAATGCAAGCCTTGGTTTCTAGAGCAGATTCCACATGATAAGCAGCAAAATGACTTGCGCAGTCATGCTTTACCTGCTCCCAGCCTAATGGAGTGAGATGCGCATCAAAAAAATCAGGATTCAAGTATGCTCTGTAGTTCTTATCTCCCTCTACATTGTGGATCCCCTGAGCATGCCTGACCTGGACGTATGGTTTTATAAGTTGAAAAATATTTTAATTTGTAGGCAAAAGGCCAAGAAAGAAGGCAATCTTGAATGTCCTTGAAATGAAATATATAGCAGCCTCAAGTCCAAGCTGGATTTAATGTGTTGACAGAAAAGTGAGTTTGATACCAACCAGGTGAATGGTTTTGCACCGACTCAATGGATACAAACTTGAACCAGCACCACAATCCATATTTCCAGATGAACCTGATGAACATTAGATTTCAGACTAGTGACACCACATAAAGTAACAAAGCACCAGATCTCCATCACAATATTGGCAATAACAAAATTAATGTGTCAGAACATGAACTATGACCTATTTGCAAGCACCGCAAGATAGTTATCCTTTAACAATTCAATTGCATTGATCCATACATTTTTCCCCAATTATTTAGATTTTGCCTTGGTCTATATCTTACGTTTGGTTATCCATAGTATCACTAGCTCCGCTACTTCATTCTCATTATCGACATACTCTACAACCTACACTTGTCAATACACACGCGCAACCAGTCTCCAGCATGATCACCAACCTAAGAAAGCACACTGGAAGCACAATAAAGCAAACTATGACAGACTCCAAGCCACGATCACGATCTTCAGAAGAGTACGTTAGTTCGTTTGGCAGCAACATACAACTACAAACTTCCTTCACAAACACCTTTACCAAAAGAAAATTAGCCGTTCTGAAAATAACAGAAGTCCCATGCACATAGAATCCAAACTCAATACCTTTCTAAACCACCATTTCCACAGCATCTAACACAAAACACAACGAGTAACCACAAACAAGCAAAGAAACTTCTGAGTCATAACGGAGCTTCCGAAGAAGAGACTCCAATTGTAGAACCTAAAAGCAAAACATCCTAGTCGAATATAACGCAACGTATAAACAAGCTTAGAGATCCAACGAAGTACCAGAGAAGCAGAACGCAGGAGGAGGTAAATGAAACTCAAATTTGTACGAGCTCGGAGAAGAACCAGAGCGATAACGCAGAAAAGAAGTAGATCGGAATGCTGTGAGAGAAACGGAATGAGGGTGAGAGTATGCAGAAGCACTAATAAAGCTCATTGGACATTGGCGATGTACAGTAATTTATTATTCTCTTCTTCGCTCTATTTCTGGTAGTTACGTTGCGTCGCGTTGTGTCCAGTCAATTCGCTTCTCCAAATTCATTCAATATCGAAAAAATTTCCAGCTGCACAAATTGCGTCGTGCCCGAATTATGATAGCAAATGACGGCTTTATGCCAATCAAAGCAAGCTTATCAAAAACAGGTTTTCTTCATTTTCTTAAATAATACATTTTGTTTGTACCAAAAAGAAAAGAATATATTTTATCCACATGGTTTTTTAATCTCTGGGGTCAATTGGAGGGACTTTTTGTGGGGTAAAATAACTTAGGAAATGAGTTTTAAAGAAGTTGTTCTATTATATATATTTTTTGTTTTTATTATAGTTCTTAATAATTTTTTATTTTTATCATCGGAAAAATACCATCCATCAATATATTATTAATATCATCTTTCGTTGTTCATTTAGAATAATCCATCCATTATCAAAAAAGATATTCCATAAAATTAAAATTATCAATATGGTATGACTTGTGAGAATTAACAAGACATTGGATAGTTGTTTTCTATATTTAAACTTAAAAGAATATTTTTAATTATTATTTCTTATAAAAGCATCGTGCAGAAATAGTAATAAAGAGAAGTGCTTTTAAATTATTATAAGAAAAAATGGTAATTAAAAATTCATAAGATCATTAATTATAATTAGAGATTTAAAATTGTTGAAATTCTAATAATGCATCATCATCCTTACTTAAAATTAAAACAGTTGATTTAATCTCACCTAAAAAATTAAAAAAGGACATTATTGAAATTGTTATTATGTGCTGAAACTATTATTAATATCAATTGGTAAAATCAAGGTTCACACTAAAGAATAAGATTAACAATAACACTAACCCATAATAATAATTTTAATAATTTTAATTCATAATATTTAGGATCATGATTTTTTAACTGAAATTAATAATACTTTCAATATATTATAATAATTTTAATAATATTTTTTTAAATTTTTTAAATAATTTATTTGTATATTGACTAATATAAAAATTTACATATTGAAAAGACATTAAAAATTAAAAAATTTACTTCATATTCAAAAGTAAGGTTGTTAAATTTTTGCGTGGCTATTGTGCATCTTGAAGTAATGATTTCATATTCAAATGTGAGACTCACAACCCTCGCATAATTCATTCATTATTTATGAGCTATGTTTACAGAAGAATGCATTAATACTCTCCCCATCGTCGTCCCGACTCGGGCACTATTTTCACTCTCCTGAGTCTCCTCTCCAGAAAGATGCTATGTCTCCGAAGCTCCTTTCACCGCTCTTCCCGTGGCTTATCTTACTGACACTTGCATCCCTCTTTTTCTTTTATTCTTTTGTTTCACTCTATAGACCCTCTTCCCCAACCGTACGATCGCTTACAGTTCCAACATCTTCCTCATGTAATCTGTTCAGAGGTATCTGGGTCTTAGATCCAAATCGCAAGCCATTGTACGATGAGACTTGCCCATTTCACCGAAACGCATGGAATTGTTTGAGGAACAAGAGGGAAAATATGAGCCTGATCAATTCGTGGAAATGGGTTCCTGAAAGTTGTGATCTGCAGCGGATCGACCCTTTTCAATTTATGGGGCTAATGAGGAATAAGAATATTGGGTTTGTTGGGGATTCTCTGAATGAGAATTTCTTGGCTTCGTTTCTATGCATTCTGAGAATTGCTGATGAGGGTGCTAAGAAGTGGAAAAGGAAGGGGGCTTGGAGGGGAGCTTATTTTCCCAAGTACAATTTGACGGTCGCTTATCATCGTGCTGTTTTGCTTTCCAAATACCAGTAAGAATATTATTGCGTAAGTTCTTTCATTTTGAATTTTGCATGAGTTTCTTTCTGCAGTGCTTTCTCGCGGGATTAACAACTAGCATAAACAACTTTATAGTAGTATAACAGTTTCTTTCTGCATTGTTAGGTCTATTGAGACTTAGTTCTCGAATGTGCAGTAAGTGGAATTCTTAAAAATAGCAAATGGTTCCGTATTAGTTTTTTTACGAGATCTCTAGGTCATTTGGTAGTAGGATAGTTCACGAGTTTGTTGATTTCAGGTGCATTTTATTAGTTTTCGAAAATTGTTTTTATTTTGCTAAAAGCTTTCGTTGGTTTTTGCGTGTGTTTGAGTTGCTTGTGCTCATGTTTTTAGATAATTATCATCTTGCTCCCTGATTGGCAAGGAAAAAGATCATTTACTCATCTGTGTTGAACTTATTAAAGGAATTAGGCGTATAAAAAGTGTGTTTGACTCAGGAAGTGGAACTGGTTTTTGTCATAATTTAAATCTTGTTGGGATCGATCCAAGGGAGCACTGGCTTAGAATATGAAATATTTTATATATTGAGCATCAACCCAAAATGTTGCCAAAAGAAATGAGAGTAATGACAGTGCTATAGATAAATCACTTCTAATTAGCTCATCAAAATCAAGGAGAGGTATTTAAATTATGAATATAGTATTCAAAAGAAGAAATTTCCTAGTTTACTCTTATTAAATGCATCATCTTTAAAAACATTTTCTCTCATATGTAATTCTTACTCTTCTCATGGAAAATTGTAAAAGGATAAAATTGGAATAAAATAATTAATGATCAGCCTTTTTATGCAAAGTGACTTGTAAAAAAAATCATCAATTTCTTCTAGAAGATGATTTATATATAGGACTGGAGGGAATACCTTTTATATCTCATCCGTGGTTATGCATTAATTCAATCTAGAAGGGTGTACACAAATGCAATTTAGTTTGTTAGCTGGTACATTATGAATGTCATGGCCAAATGTTTTCATGTGCAAATATTTTCGTCTGAAATGTTGGATATTGTTAGTAGACATATAAGTATTTCATGGAAGTATATGCCTGCTGGGTCATAAGTGTCGCCACCACTCCAGTTCTTACCTATCTATAATCTATACTCTATACATTATCCTACTGGGTATTCTCTTTTTATGGTGCCATTGTGGAAGTGACACTGCTACTACTGTTAACACTCAAATACAAACTGCAGTTTTTTATGTATCTGTACTCATTGTTCAATTGTTTTTTCGTTTTTAATAATTCTTTAAAGTAGGGATTGAAAGGTCATTTTTTATGTTCAAAATTACTTTTTTCCATTTTATTACGTTTCATCCTGTGTACTCCCAAGTCCCTCAACTTTCACCCTTTATAAAATAAGCACTTGCAGTTTTCTCCGCCCTTAAATATAGTAACTCAAATACCATAACAAACTTTCCCATTACTGATGTGACAAGCTTTCATTTGTATCTAATGTTCATGTCAATCATTGGACATCTGATGTGACATCTTGGAGTGTGAAGTTTTTTGTTTTGTATTTTTTTCTTAAAATGAATAATGTTCTATTTTAAATAGTATGTTCTTCGTGTTAATTCTTGTTAACTGTCTTTTTTAAGCTCTTTTTTCCCTATAATTTTGAAATGGCAATCTTATGTGCTTGTTACTGAACATGAGAAGGTGGCAGCCAAAGGAATCTGAAAATGGACGTCAAGAGGGATCACAAGGTATTTATCGAGTAGATGTTGATGTTCCTGCAGATGATTGGGTTAATATTGCAGGCTTCTATGATGTCCTTGTGTTTAACACTGGCCACTGGTAAGTTCTTGTTCCCTATGCTGAACTTTAAACTGTTAATTATGGAATGCCTTACTGCTTATATGCATATAGAAAAAGGTGTGGAGCCTAGACATCAGAAAGAACACAGAGATCGGGCTAGTTGTAACTGCCTCAGGTTTCTGAAGTTATAACCTACGAGTAACTCAGTAATTCTTGTCTTGAATAGGTGGAATTATGACAAATTCCCGAAAGAGAAGCCTCTTGTATTTTATAGGGATGGACAGCCAGTTGTTCCTCCACTTGAAATGTTGGATGGATTAAAAGTTATTCTTGAAAACGCTGTTTCATACATACAAAACAAATTCCCAACAAAGACATTGAAGTTCTGGCGTTTGCAATCTCCAAGGCATTTCTATGGAGGAGACTGGAATCAAAATGGAAGCTGCTTGTTGAGCAAGCCCCTTGAGAAGCATGAGGTTTGTGTTTCTGTAATCTGCCTTGGGTTTATTCCCCCCAGGAAAAGAGTTTTTTTTTGTTTTTTTGGCCCTTTACTTTTCTGTTTCCATTTATGAAATTGCAACCCTTAAAGGCTAAGCTGTTTAATACATATGATCTTACTTGTCTGCTTCTTTCCTGCATTCAGAAATCATCTTAACCAAGAGACTTGAGAACCTTGTTAGAGATAATAGTAAAATTATTACAAGCTCTCACTTAACAGCCTAAACTTTGAGTTGAATTGATCACTGACACTTTTCGTTTCATGCATTAGTTGAGAGAAATAGATACTAATATCTGAGCAGCTTGACTTATGGTTTGAACCCAGGAACAACGGAGTTAACAAGGAAGCAAGGCAACTGAATATTCTGATTCAAGAGGCATTGCAAGGCACTGATATCCAAGTGCTTGATTTAACTCACTTGAGTGAATTCAGAGCTGATGCTCATCCAGCGATTTGGTTGGGAAGGCAGGATGCAGTGACAATCTGGGGTCAGGATTGCATGCACTGGTGTCTGCCTGGTGTCCCTGACACATGGGTTGATATATTGTCACAACTGATCCTTAATACATTAGGGAGAACCAGTGGATCATAAAAAATGGAAAGGTTTTTATGTAGATCCAGTCTATAAAAAATAAAAGACGAAGTCAATACGAAGATAGACATGGAGTTTTTAAAGAAGTTTGGAGAGGTTGAGCTTTTCCCTTGACAAATCAAAATTTTTTAGACAAAGATAGAAGTCCAACAGTAAAAACTCAACGTCTCAGGCGTGTCATAGGTAGATTTCATTGAAAAATGTATAAAACAATTTCATGTCTAATTATGATTAGTTTTTATACTTAACTTGTATAGATTGGATCTACCTAAATCTTTTCTAGAAGCACGATTATAACTCAGGAAATCCACTGTCATGCGTTTGCCATTGAAAGGTTTGTGGGCTTGTTTATTGTGGAGATGTGGGAATTTTGAGGTCTTCGTTGAAGTTTCTGAGCTTGATGCAAGATTTAATGCCGATCTTGTGAAGAAAAAATTGCAGCTTTCAAGCTGGGACGGAAGCTGTGGTTGATTTGGTGAAGAGAAGTTGATACCTATGGATGCAGCTCCGTCAACTTATTCAAAAAAAAATAAACTAGTGGACTCGTACCTTTTGCTCTGTGTAGAATGTTAAGGAAGCATTGAAGGATCTACATACGGGAGTCCTGGGATAATTATCTCAACTCATTCAGAACCAACAAGCCTATTGTTGAGTACATTAGTTAATTATCTGTGTGAAGTCACCGAAGATGCTTCAAGCAGATAAGTAACTGATGAACTTCAGAGCCAGCTTGCTGGTTCAAAATGAGTTGAAGTAACTATCTCAGCATTCTCAGATGTAGAAGCTCCAATGCTTCCTTTAGCATGAGCAGTAGGGCTGTGTAAAAGTTTTTCAATCCTGTTTGGTTCAGTCCAACCCAAGATGGTCTCAGTCTTGTTTGGTCCATATAGACACCGGTCCTTCAGGACCAAAAAGACTGAAAAGACCAGACTATTTTTTCGAGTTGAACTGGACAAGAGACTAGACATTCAAACCACTTGGTCCAGTCTGATCCTATTAATTTTTTTATTATAATTATAATTAATTTATTTTTGACAAATGTTTGAAGTGTAATTGATGGTAAGGAGATAATTGTATGAAGATTTGTTGAGTTTGTTTCTAAATTATTGTTGTAATGTAGTGTTGTTAAATTTTATTGAATGTTATTTTTGTTAAAGTTATAAATTTAAATCATTTGGACTGTGATATAATTTTTTTTTATTGCTGGAATTATGGATTTATTATTATTATAAGTGTTTTTACTATCTTAATTGAGTTTATTATGTTGAAATGGATTATTACCTCTCATAGAATAAAAAGAAAAAAAAAAGCTAAGTGAGTATTGGACTGACAGGATCAGTTTCTCAGTCTTATGGATCAAGTTCAGTCTTCTTAATCTTCAAGTTATCACTGGACAAGACTGGACTACGGGTTGCCTAACCCAATTCTTTTTATGAAAGAGACCAAACTTCAAGTTAGGGTGAAGTCTAGTGCCGTCCTGTCTTTTGTGCAGCCTTAATAAGCAGTAGGTATTTACTAATTTATTATTTACCCAACTTTTTGTAGAAAGATTTGAAAACTTTGAATGTTTTTATAATTGTGAACAGTGTAATTTATTTATTTTTCCAAATTTAATATTTCCTCTATCTTAAATTATAAATTATAAGACACTTAAACAAAATTATAGTGCATATCAATAAAATTCATTAAATATAATTGGGAGAATAAAAAAATGTTTTAAAAGAATCAATTAATTCAAGTTAGATTTCAAGTATTAAATTTTAGAAATTTACAATTCAATTTTTCAATTTTACAATTATATTGTATTGAATTTACAGCTTGTTTTTTAAATTTTGACATGGTTAAAAAATAAAAAAAATTTATTAAAATTTAAAATATAAGTTACAAATTTATCACAATGAAATTACAAAATTAAAAAATTAAATTATAAATTCTTAAAATTTGATATTTAAGACTTAACTTAAATTAATTGATCCTTTTAAGAGTTTTTTGTCATTCTTTCAATATAATTTATAATATTATTTTTTTAAAATAAAAATATAAACTTTACAAAATGATATTTATTTAATTCTTCATTTGTAAAAGAATATTAAAAAAATATATGAGAAGGATAATATTAAAAAACACAACATTAATGAAATTTATTTTTATTAAAGTATCTTATATTTTAATATACTAAATTTCCTCCAAAAGTGTCTTGCAATTTGAGATGAAAAAGGTATATTATATGGAACAAACCATTCAGAATCTTGACAGCAAAATTAATGACATGCATGTTGTTTACTTACTAAATGCACTTATTTTCCTTATTGATGTGAAAAGTGAAGGTATCGTAATATAAAATTTGATAAGAAGTCATATTATTTCGAAGTCATAACAATGTGTTTTATCTTTAATTGTTGAATAGGGCCATAAAGCCGAAATACAATAGAAAGTCACGAAAGAAAATACAGAACTGGCCGTGGAGTTGTCACCTCCACCATGTCCCTAAAAAGTAAAAACTAGAAAGCAAGCTATGAAGTTCCTTCAGAGGATCGATCGCAAAGTGATCTCCTGGGTCGTTATCAAAGCTTCTTTTTTTTTTTTCTAATGAATTATCCAAGCACAACTACAGACCCCCAAGTTGTACAAGACCATTTGCTGGTAAAAAAACAATTGTACAAGACCATGAGCTTCACGTATGATATGAGGCCACCACATCAGAAATGTGCTTTATTTCAAATTCCGCAGAGTTTGAATGTGCATTCCCGTTGATCATAATTATTTGTGTGAATTACTGTGAAACACATGTCAAGTTGCTATTTGTCCTAGGATCAAATCTTTTTATGAGTATCGTTTTCAAGTGCCTATACAATGACCCTTTTGTTGCCACATGGATGACACGCATCCCACTTGTTAAAGTTTTTAACCAGCACGCTGGGACCAAATTCATGGCATTTTTATATCTGAAACACTAGTTTGAGAGCAAATTGTGCAATCAAAGCTTCCCCTTTTTTCAGCAGAGAAGAAAAACAACACGAGAATGTGACCAAAAACAGTTTGAAAGGCCTGTTAAAATATACAGGATTAACATTCTTTCTTGTGACTCAAGATAAAAACAAGACTCCCTTTCCTCGTCCAATATCTAATTAATCATAAACAACTGTAGCATTACACCAGAGTTTGTAATGCCTAAATATGAATGCAATTACTCTGCGCAATTTAATAACTTGCAAATGCGCACACACAGAATTGTCCATGTAACTTTCTTCATATACAATCCATGTCCTTGAATCCCAATCAATCCATCATGCCAGAAATTCTGCGCGCGAAATACAAAATAATACAGAAAATAATCATTATAATGAACAGAAGTTTAAAAGCAAACATGCAAGTTCTCACTGCAGGGGCAGTACTTGAATGCTTTAAGAATACAGTTACAAGTTGATCTAGCAGGAAAATAGATACGAAAGGACCAGGATATGAACAGATTTTTTGGATATTTATTTACTCCATTGGTCTTGTAAAATGTAACAGGGAATCTTGTAAGAAATTTTATATACAAACCAGGGGGATTTGAATGCTAAAAATGCACTGCACACACCAATTTTGAGTCTGTTCATAAACACAAATCAGAAGTAGAGCTGTCTGCACTGTGCAACTGTAGCTTCTGCAGGACAGTAGGGACACTTGAACGTTCGGGTGCTGCTTTTTGACAACTTCATGATTGATTGCTTGCAAAGAACATGTAAACACGGAAGCAACATGGGAGGATTCTCTTCACTCGCTTGGTCACGACTTACAGGGCAGACAAAAATAGAATGAAATTGAAATTCTTTCCCCAATTCTACAGGCACTGGCAACTGTTTCATAGCCTGCCATTCTTGCTTCTTTGCTGCCATTACATTTGCCAGCTTTAAGAGTGTAGGCAACCCTTCAACTCCAGCAGCAATTGCCACACTCAATGGGCTCTCATAGGACTGTCCCAAGAGAATGCAGAACTGCCGGGTCAGCTCCTCGGTAGTCCTCTCCCAATGGATCTGGGACATCAACTCAGAATAAGGGGAGCTGTCAAGCCTTCCTGCATACAAGAGGCAACCCATAAGCTTTTGGAACTCATCCTTGTGGAGGGAAGCAAAAGGAGCAAGATAAGTTCGGGCATATTTTAAGGCATCGGCTCGAGTTCCATTTTGCAAAACCTCTACAAACTGCAGCGTATGAAGCTTAAGCTCAAGATTGGAACCACTCTGGACAAGTTTATCTTGGTTGGTAGAGACCCATGTGAGAGCAGGTTGAAGGTTCTTAACTCTCATAGCCTCAAGAATCTGATGCATTTCCAAGAATTGAGATCTTAGTGAATTTGTATTAACTTCCCCAGCCTCATTTATGATGGTATCTCCAAGATCAAATAGCCCTTGACGGTAAAAATGGTTTGCAATAATCTGATTCACAATGTGAAAGTCAAAGTCAACATTTCTGTATGCCTTGGATACATCAGGATTTAAGGATTTCTCCAGAAGCTTTTGGTACTTGGTAAGACTTATGTTCAATTCTTTCTGTGGTCCTTCAAACTGTTGAAGCACCCCAATAGCATTAAGTTTAAACTTGAGGTCTGTAAGTATAGATTTCTGGTCAACAGGGGCTGAATCATTGGCTGACTGAATTTTTGCCAAAGCCTGCTTAATTTCAAGCCCCACCTGATCAATGACTTCTTGGAACTTGGAGGTAGATAACTTTTGCTTCTTAGATACACGGTCAAATGCATCTCTAATGCTGTTCAGCTCCATCTTTGATGCTCTAGTAAGAAACTACTGCAGAAATTTGACAAAGAAAACAATTAGACATGTTCCCAAAAACAAAAACTAATGCTTCTTGCACAAAAACTAAAAAGTATGATGAGAAAGCCACTCATTATATGCAACAAAGTGAAGCATCAGGCCATCAGCTATGTCACATGAACGCATCTTGTCTCAATATGAAGACAACAAAAATGAAAAACTACAGTTTTTTTTTCCCTGTTTGCTCTGGAGTGAGAGATCCTTTCCCAACAATGCAAAGAGAATTGTAACTAGGAAAAAGTATGGTGAATATTTATAAGAATTTATTAAAAATTAGAGACATTCAAGCCAAAATTTTGAAACTAGTTCCTTATAAGTTTGTTCCCGCCAACTTCTATAAAAGCTTAAAAATATGCTCCTAGCCTCCTAACTCAACTAAAGAGGCTGCCCCATGTCCAAAGCTTAGCAAGAATATCAGTATGTTTATTTCACAGGAAAAAAAATTATTGAAGAGCAGAGAAGAGCAATACAAAACTGAGACCAGTTATCCAATAACAAAACAGTAGAAGTTACAAACAGGACATCAGTGTGTCATCAATAAGAGACACACAATGTGCGCAAGTCACGAAACAAAGATTTTGGAAGGTCTTTATACCAAGAAAGGTAAATTTCATTGAGTCGAAGCTTCACCTCACCTAAGTCTCTAAACAACCTTCGTAGAGAATCCCAAAGATATGCAGCCATATTTTCTCATATTTATGAAACAAGACTGTTAAAGGGTTTTTTCTAAGCTGACTTGCACCCAGAAGATCCTTTCCTTCGGATTTAGACAACACTAGTCTAAAGAGCTCCAAAATTCAAAATTAACAACATAGAAAGCACAGGTAGATCAGTATAAAAAGGTACTGGTCAAATTTTTAGCTGCTCATTCATGTTATATATATTCATCTGATAGGATTCCACTACTTATTATAACCTGTAGGAGAAAAAGAAAGCAGCCTAGGATGGAATCACTGAGAATGTGAGGCCCGTTATTGACTGGAAAGATAATTAGGAAGTTATTTAACTTCTAGTCTGTGTTGTCAATATTTTATGAACTGTTGGGACAGTAATGATGCAGGAAGTTCAGATGCCTTATGCTAAGTATGTGAAGTCCAGATGTCTTGTGTCTATGAATCAGTAATTTGTGCAAGTATCTTATGTGTCATAGTTGTAAGCTAGTCATATGATGATATGTTAATCTGTTCCATACTAGATAATTGATATTGATCAATGGAGAAGGGTATGGCATGTTATTCAGTAAAACTCTCGGTCTCCACAGCTTGGGTGGTTTATGCTTTAGACTCAGAATCATAGATTTATTAAGATTTTACCTTAAACTTTAATTCAACCCAGCTCTAACTAGGATTTCAGTATTGTAAAGAATCAGATCAGAATTATAAATCTTTTGCCCATCCCTATTCTAACACTTCCATCCACATCCTTTACATCATTTTCCAGTTTGCACACAAGATGAATATCCTGATTCATTTTGCTTAAGGATCTACAACTAATCCAACATATCAGTTGAAAAGTGATGTAACATCAGGAGGACTAATCAGAAGAATGCATCTTACAATTGGGATAATGGAGGACACCAAACAACCGACAACTATAGCAATAACAGGTAGGTAAACATAAAGGTCTGAATTTTCCAATTAAAATATCAGCTCCAACCATGGATCATCCAAAAAAACAAGAGAAAACCCATTAAAACTTTAGACAACGCACATAAAAACCAGCCACTAAAGACAATATATAAGCATTTTCAAACTATGAAAAAGGATGAGCCTATTACTTGTTAATTGTTATGCAAAAATGCAGGTCTTTGTCCCTCAAGAGATATCAGAATGAAGCCATGATGAGTCAATTTCAGGTGCAATCACCACTACTGGGCTATCAACACAATCAGATCACTTTCTATTTAAGAAATAAAAAAGAGAAAGCCAATTTGTTGCCTTATACATGGTGCTTGCCCAGTTTTCTTATGTTCAAATATGCAAAGTCATGGGTGGTTTCTCTTTGACATGTTGTAAGAGTTATTTAAAGAAGGAAAAAAAAAAAGAAAGCCTGAAATGCAACTGTATGAATATTTTTTACACAACAAGCAAATAGGACAGGTCTCTTGCATTATAATCAAGTATTTAAACCAGAAAGAGTTAAAAAAAAGACAACCGTTCATGACCAATCAGAAAGGATATCTGAAACCTTGAGCAAATAAGCTAATATAATCAATCACTCATTATCATTCATTTGTCCTCAATTTTGAAGTACTCTTTTATTTTCTCCATTGAATGCTATAGTCGAATGTTTTCCAAAGGACCGAAGTTATTAAATGTTAGCACAATTCTAGAGTTTAACACACAAATCTTTCCAAAGAATTAGCCTTTCCCGTGTAATAGGATCATAAACTCATTATTGGTAAACGTATATCACAATGTTCACAGCAATTAGGTTTTAGAGAGTTTGTCCTCCAAGATACAAGATTAAAATTTATTACGCAAATGAAATTCTCGTAATTAACGCTCTTCTCTCATGGTTGAATAAAAAACAAGGCTCTTAAATATCAGGAATCAACTCCACAGAATACAATCACGAAAGACAAACAGTGAACAATTCACTTTCTCAAATTGTCAAATTCTTAATTAATCACAATATCAAGCTACCTAAAAACGCTTATAAAAACAATACCACATACTTCCATTTATATGGTAATACGAATTCAACAGGTAAGAAATTTCAGAGAAGACATAAGCAGAGAAAACAATCAAAATCTTGAAAACAATTCAATTCACCTCTTTTCGAATTTCACGAATGGAAAAAAAATGGAGATCCATTTCTTGAAACATTGATTAATAAAGAGAATGTAAAAGAAGAAAAAAATCAGAAAGAGAATGTCAGAAATAATTGGGGAAAAATAGTTGCACAAGCCTGTGGTGTTCTTCTGTTACCTGAAAAACAGTCGGAGAAGCGAAGAGCAAAGAGCACGAGAGAGGCGAGGAATGCAGGCTTGTAAATGCGTGTGCGAGTGAGAAATCTGAATGGGAGACACCCACACGTGCGAAAGAAAACTTGTCTGAGACAAAATCTGAATCCCAAATTGCCAATGGCAAAGTTTTCGCAGGAAGTCAATAGCTATGATTTGAAATGAAGAAAAAATTGAAATGATTTGCAATATCTGGTTTGTGTTCATTTTAGAGCCGGTAACTTAGGGTTCGGATCAATCTAGTCCAGACTTTTTTAAATAATAACATTTGACATTTATTTTAAAATTAATTTTTTATATTTAAAAAAGTATAAAATATATTTTTTATATTTAAAAAATTTAGAAGACTTAGTTTTTTAAAAAAATTTATACTCTTAAAATTTAAAAATCAAGATTAAAATATATTTTAAATATTATATGAGATATTTTATAGATTAAAAATAATAAAAATGTAATTTTTTATTTTTAGATCATATTTATAATAATATACTCATATTCTCCTGATAAAAAATAACTAAAATTTAAACAATTAATTAATATGTAACATATTGTATATTTTTTAAAAAAATTATTTCAAGCCTAATTTTTTTGGACATATTTGGATCGGGCATTAAAAAATAATTATTTTATAAAATTCAACTTTAAAACTTTTTTTAGACTCATTGGAGGTAACCCAAATCAAACCAGCTCTAATATATTTATGTCTTATTTGGTATCTTAAAATATTTTTGATGAAAATAGAAATAGATATAAAAATAACGGAAATAAAGATGGAAATGAGGTTTAAAAGTATGTTTGGTATGTATATAGAATTATAATATATTTTTTATTTAATATATGCACTTATATAATTAATTTACTAAAATACCCTTGTCTTTTTTTTTAAATTAAGATGTACTTTTTATTTAATATATGCATTTATATAATCAATTTACTGAAATACCCTTGTCAATTTTTTTTAATTATGATATACTTTTTATTTAATATATGCATTTATATAATCAATTTACTAAAATACCTCTATCTATTTTTTAAATTATGATATATTTTTTATTTAATATATGCATTTATATAATCAATTTACTAAAATACCCCTATCTATTTTTTTAATTATGATATATTTTTTATTTAATATGCATATCTATATAATCAATTTACTAAAATATTCCTATTATATTTTTTTAAAAAAAACTTTTTATGCCACCAGCATTGATTTTCTTGACACCCAACATGCTATCACAATTCAATTTTTTGTGCTTGCTAGGTGTTTAGCTCTTTATTTTATAGCATTATATACATAATACACACACATAATTGATACAAAATATACAAAAATGACAAGGTTGTACATACAAAATGGTAGGTTATGTTAAAGTTATCAAGTTGTGATAACTTTTCACATATAAAATGACAAGTTATCAAAAATGGCCAACATTTAACCCCTGCATATACCAAAAATAGATGGGAGGAAATTCTACTACTTACAAAATATAGCCAATCATATCACATCCAAGTTACTCTTGCATAATATATTTTATGTAGACAACTAGATTATGCAAAAAGCTTTCGAACCATAGCCAAGTTAGCCTTGTATGGGAGGGCTAGAAAGACAAGAAGGAGTGCTTCATCTTTAATAATTTTTAATAGTGCATCTTGTTGTTCATCTTCAGTAAGCTCTTTCAACTTGCAAAGCTCTTCATAAAGGACTTCACATTTTGCATCTAGCATAAATGCCCGTGCCATCTTGTCAGTATGAGATCCTCAATTTAAAGATGCTTCTTGGATTCCTTAACATGTGTTGTTCATCATCTTTTCAAGAGCATCCATAAAAAGATTATCACGATCACAATTGTTCCTTTTTCTCTTCTTATTTCTAGACATGGCAACAGTAATAGAAGGGTCAATGTCAACACTTACATCAACTTATTGAGTTTCCTCAATGCCATCATTGTCATCAACCTCCACATGTAGGATTTCTCTAGTGTCATCAACCGGATCAGCTTGTAAACTAGACAATGATCCTTTTCCAGTAGCTCTATCTTTACCAAATATGGTTGAAAGTGCATCAAAATGATGGAAAGGTTTCCCATGAAATTGAGCAGCTTTTTGTTACTCTACAAAAGAACCAAACCAATTTATATATATACGCATTCCAAGAAATATTACTTGTAAAATATCCAAATGCAATATCAATAACAAAATGTTACCTTTATATACTCATCCCAAACAGCCTTTTTAGCTGTAACATACTGTTTGTCTGGATCCTATATAAATCCTGATGTGTTAGTGCCATTAACCATGTCATTTACAACCTGCCAATTGACTTTTAATGTCTTCAAATGAGATTGAATGTTAGGATAAATCTTGATTCCATAACCAAGGATCTTCTCATGCAACATAGAATGCAATTGCTTTAGTACTCCAGACTTGAAACCATTATTAGCATGTAAACCTCTTTCTTCATGAATTTGTAACAAGGAAGCAATAAGTACATCATCCTCCTTAGGTGTCCATGCATGAAACTTTTGTTTTGTTGAGGTCTCCTCTGCCATTATCTAAATTAAAACACAATAAAATAATGAAAAATAATTAAAGTATATTATATATAATTCATAGTTAAAACCTATAAAAGCATAGAACAAAAAAGCATAGAACATAAATGGCAATATGGGACATAAATTTTATATAATCAATATTTAGACTTGAAAATATATAACCCTAAATATTTCAAATAACACCCATACAAAGTACTTATAAAATAAATGATAGTACTGTTACTCCACATATATAATATGAAGTCATTACACTTCCACTATATTAATTGACATTCATCTATTATCCCTATGGCTTATGAAATCTACAAACATCTCATTAGCCAAACTCTCATGAAAGTTGCTCCATGCATCCGATAGCTCAATTGTCAAAATAGGGGGAGCATCTATGTTAGAGCTATTAGTATCTAATTCTTCAAACCCATCCTCGAGGGGATCCGATCCATGTTGACAAATTAAATTATGTAAGAGGCAACAAGATATCACAATACGATTATGAGTTCAAATTGGGTAGAATAATAGACTTCTAAGAATAGCCCAACACAATTTCAACATCCCAAAGTAGCGTTCAATGACATTATGAGCTGATGCATGCCTCGTATTAAAGCATTCATGAGTACTAATAGGGTGTCTTCCATTTCTCCATTCACTTAAATGGTAACATTGTCCTTAATATAAGCTCATGTAGTAGTTCTCCAAAAATTGTTTGAGCGCTTGCGTAAATACAAGATCAAGTCAAAACCTAATAAATGCATATTTAGAGCTTCATTAGGAAAATTATTAGGTTTCATTGTCAGTAAGAAGGGCATAGATAGATCCTAACAATGTCAAAGTAATTAGTGACATAAGGCCACCATAAACAAAGAAAGAGGTTCGTAGCTTCTTAGGGTATTTGAATTACATATCTAGATTCATAGCCAAATTAACTACTACTTATGAGCCCTCTTTAAATTATTATGAAAAAAATAATACTGACCAGTAGGATGAACATTGTCAACAAGCTTTTGACAAGATAAAGGACTACTTATTGAACCCTCCACTATTAGTACCTCTAACACCTGGTCGACCTTTGATCCTTTACTTGACCATAAGACTTACATTTGTGGGTGCAATGCTGGGGCAACTTGATAAAACTGGGAAAAAGGAAAAAGCAGTTTATTATTTGAGCAAAAAGTTTAATGATTGTGAATCACGCTATTCACTAATAGAAAAAATATGATATGGTTTAGTATGGGTACTCAACGATTAAGGCAATACATGTTGTATTATATCACATGGTTGATTTCACGGATGGATCCAATGAAATATATTTTTAAGAGTCCTCATGTGTCAAGTCGAGTTTCTAAGTAGCAAGTAATACTCTCAAAATATGATGTGAAATACATGAATCGTAAGGAAGTATTATTGCAAATTATTTGGCAGCAAATCCTATGGAGGAGTATCAACCTATAAATTTTCTATTTCTAAACGAGGACATTTTTGTTGCAGAGGAAAAAGAACAAGAGGAAGAGAAATAAAAGATGTATTTTGATGGGGCAACAATATCTATAGAAATAGGTTAGGAGCAATGCTAATATCCCCAAAAGGCAAACAATTGCCATTAGCTATCAAATTAGGCTTTGACTGTACCAACAATATGGCTGAGCATGAAGTATGTTTAAATAGTTTACAAGCTGCTATGACACTAGGCATTAAGAAACTTAATGTTTTTAGAGATTCTACTCTTATTATTTATCAAGCAACTGGCAAATGGCAAACTAAAGATTCCAAATTAATCCCATATCAAAAAAAATCTCACTCAATTGATTAATAAATTCGACAAGGTGAGATTCCATCACTTAACTCGTGATAAGAATCAATTCGCAGATGCCTTAGCGACATTAGCTGTCATGGTTAAGTTGGATTGTGGAATTCATGTTCAACCAATTAAAATTGAGGCCGAAGTTACCTCCGTATATTACTTGAATGTTGAAAGTGAAATGAAAACATCATCATGGTTCCATGATATAAAGAGTTACATAAAAAGCGAAGAATACCCTTTGAAAACAATGAAAAATGACAAGAAGGCCATTCGATATATGGCAATGAATTTCTTCCTTAGTGGGGAAGTATTGTACAAAAGAACTTTTAATGGTATACTACTTTGATGTGTTGATTCTAGGGATACACAGAAAATTTTAGAAGAGGTTCATGAGGGAATATGTGAAATTCATGCTAATGGCCATACTATGGCCAGACAAATTCAAAAACATGGTTATTTTTGGCTAACCATAGAAAGAGATTGCATTGAATATGTTAAAAAAATGTCATAAATGCCAAATTTATATTAACCAAATACATGCCTTACCTCAACCGCTTCATAACCTCATAGCCCCTTAGCCTTTATCTTTATAAGGACTTGATGTTATTGGTCCAATCAATCCTAAGGCCTCAAATAGGCACCATTTCATCCTTGTAGCTATTGATTATTTCACAAAGTGGATAGAGGCTGCTTCTTTTGCTAGCATCACCCAAAAAGCCTTTCTTAAATTTTTAAGAATAAATATTATTTATAGATATGGTCTACCAAAATGGATTATCATAGACAATACCCCTAATTTGAATGG